TTTTTTTTTGAAAGGCCACTGACTTTTATTGATTTAAAAAACTTTATAAGGACAATGACTGTTCTGCCAAAAGAGAAGCCAAATGGCATAAAACAGACCAGAGATGAGGATGGGGGTGAAGGAAGGGGCCAGGAATCCACTCAGAAAAGCTGGGTATTATTGACACGAAATTGGCAGGGGAAAGAGAAGGGAGATGCATGCAAGAGGCAGAATTCTGAAAAAGTTGAAATGGTGAGGGGAGAGAATGCCCTGAAGACCCCGGAGGGCATCGGAGGTTGAGTAGGCATCAATCCTTTGTAGAGGGCTGGGGAGGAGCCCCCACTCAGCTGCAAACTCTGGAGACTCAAGGCTGGGGCTAGGAATTGGGGGCTCCCCAGAGAGCATCACAAGAAGGCGTCACACCACTCTTGAAGGCACCCAAAGCAGTTGCGGGACTGCTTGGCGTTGGCACCACATGTGTCCTTTAGCCATTCCTGGAAAAGGTTTTCATCTTTCTTTAGTACCAGCAACTGGCTAAGGACCCATAGGTCTTGTCAAAGCCCCTTTCCTCTAGCTTCTTGCCCAGGACTTCACCAATCCCGGCCAGGCTCACCACTGGTTTTTCCCCCATGGGCTCTGCCACAGTCTCGGTGCTTTTGGGAGGTTGTCATCTTGATCAGGATTAATTGGCAGCTCCAGCTCCTGTCATGGCTACTCTATTACATTTTGATTGATTATACCTTTACCGTGCCTCTCCAATTCACCAACACCCCGGTTCTGTCTCCTTCAGACCACTGCTCTTGTCTTCTAATTCATCCTGGCTGCCACCGCCAGATTTAAATTTCTCTGGGCTGTTTTCAGAATCATTTCCCTTTCTAAAGGACCAAAACTGCTAGTAATAATTATTAGTTATTTATTGAGTAGTACTATGTGCCAAGACCTGTGCTAAGTACCTTCCATGTATTACTCTTCTTAATCCCACTTTTCCTCTTAGGAGAGAACCACCACCCCATTTTACAGAGCTCTGGCATCTGTAAAAAACTGAGGTGTAAAGAGGTGCGTGTCACTCCAAGATGTAATATGACTAACAGTACAGAAAGCACAATTTAAAATCAGATAGATCTCAGACTCTAAAGATTTGACTCTTACCCTCGACATTCTGTTCCTCATGATTTCATCAATGAAACTGGTTTTAATCCATCAGTTATTCAAACCTCTTAATTTCCTGGGTCTACTTTATTTCTGTAGACAAATGTTTTCACTTACTTCACTGTTTAGTATGCAGGCTGTGTCAGACTTAGTCAAATCTAGAGCTGAGTACTTGTTGTTGTACAGCTGATCCTGGGCACGCGTGCATGCTCATTCATTCATTCATTCGTCAACTATTTAGCATTTGCTGTGTGCTAGATGCTGTCACTGTTACTGCTACTCATCTCTCAGCGCCTTTGTTCCTCATTGTAAATGAACAACTAATAAGAGGACTTCAGAATGACATGAGAATTAAATTAGACAACACAGTAGATACTATGCTTAAAAATAATTTAAATATTACTATTAAAAGCCACTTAGAGCACTTCTTCACACAGAGTAAGCAGATCAGTAGATCAGCGCATAATGGTCTACTTAAAAGCATTACTGACAGCTGTTATTCTGACACCTCTTAACAAAATACTTTTTCGTCTGTGTAAGGCATATGCGTATGTAAAATTAATGGCATGTGTATTACTGACAGATGTAAGCAGTCAAGAAATATTGTTGTTACTATTATTCTATTTATTGAAAGTGCTTTCCTCATTCCTTTCCTCTAATTAAAATGCTTTACTTGTTTCAAAAGCCCAGTTCAAGGTTTATGGCCTTCATAAAACCATTCTCCATTAATCCTTTCCCTAAAAAGATTTTCTCTCACTCAGTATGTGATATCCTACCACTTCATCTTGCATTTGCTTCAACAGAGGTTTATCTACTTGTTTTACAATTATGCCTTCCTGCCCTACCTCCATCTGGCCCCAACTAGGTCACAAGTTCCATAACAGGGCTGGGACTGAGATTTCTCTTTCAAAAAAATGTTAGGTCCTATCCTGTGAGAATATGGTAGAAGAAGATTCTGCTTTTAAAAAGTCATTTGTTATCAGGAACCATTCACTTTAGTTCTATCAAAGATAATATTTTAGTCCTGAAAATTTCGTTCCCAATCATTGTTCTAACAGAAAAGATGAAAACAAAACAAACCATGAGTTGATTAGATCTGCCTTCTTTCTGGGGCATATTAATATTACATCATCTTTCCTGAGCAATAGTTTTATCATTTCCTGGTTGGTTTTC